TAGTAAATGGGTCTAAATTTTGTAAATTTTATCATTAAATTCCTATGTTTTCCATAATATTTAAATCACTAGTAATAATATGTTTATCAAAAAATTCAAAATATTTCTCTTTAAATTATCTATAATCTAAAAATATAAATTATCTAAAGTTTTCTTTTTATTCCGTAAAATTTTACTCATTTTAGTTTCAACAAGATCGAAACAAAGAATTTTAAAATGCAGATTAATAAAAGAAAAGTTAATAAGATCTTGAAGATCACATATATATTATTATCCTTAAGAGAAGAAAAAACAAAATCTTTAATTGGTTTAATATTATGTTTGGTATTGTTTTACATAACAAACATACATATATATATATAAATAAAGTGAGAGATATTAGCAGAAGTAAATAATTCTATCTTCAACAATTTTGCATGCAAATGCTTAGCCTTGAGAGATACACTATCTGGCCATTAATGACCGGACACCCCTCATTTCGGATACATGAGGTGCTAGTATCAAGTCAGTAGGGCGTAGGGCTGCCACGCGCCCGAATCACAGCTTTAACCCTTCTAGGAAGGCTATCCACTAGGTGTTGGTACACGGCGGCAGTTATTGCCCGCCATTCCTCCTGTAACATGGCGAAGAGTTGAGTGGTGGTTTGGGGGCGCTGTGGTCTGGCCCTCAACCGGCTCTCCAACTCATCCCAGAGATGCTCAATTGGATTGATATCGGGACTTTGGGATGGCCAGTCAAGCTCTTGCACCCTCATTTCATCAGACCAGTGCGTGATGGCATGTGCTTTATGAATGGCAGCGTTATCGTGTTGAAACACAAACTGGCCATTACCGAACTGTTGCCACTGGGTGGGAAGTGCCGAATTGTCCAGGATGTCTCCACACCCTTCTGCATTCAGGATTCCACGCACTAACACCAAGGGTCCAAGGCCAAACCATGAGAAACAGGACCACACCATAATTCCTCCACTGCCGAACTTCACAGTGTCCGGTCATTAATGGCTAGATAGTGTAAGTCAAGAAAAATTGATAGAAGCTATGTCATAAAATTCAGATAAGCTCTTTTATCATGATCTGTGCTGAAAAATTCCCTTTTGAAGTTTTTGTACTCAAGATAAAGTTGAGACGGCACATTGAAGAACAGTGTTGATTTCACAAGCTTCTGGTGAATTAATATATTTTTCATTGTCTCTTTTTTTTTTAAAAAAATACTGTTAAATAAAAAGATGTCAAATGAAGATGGCAAAAAGTTTTCTTTTATTTGGAGCATTGAAAATTTTTCTCATTCTTATCTTGAGAATGGACAAAAATTTATCAGTCCTGAATTTGTAGCTGAGAACACCGGAGGAAGCAAATGGTGCGTCGAAATATATCCGAAGGGATTCAATCAAGAGAATGGCAAATTTATTTCTTGTTTCCTTAAAAGAAATGATGACGATTTGTTTCCCGAATTTTCTGAAGAGATCGCTGTTGACTTCACATTCAATGTTATTGGTGGAAATGGCGAGATTTTAGGATCTTTTGAAGAAAAAAATAAGATATTTAAAAAAGGAGATAGTTCTGGTTGCTTAAAGCTAGTTCAAGTCGAAGATAAGATTAAAAACTCGCATGAAGATATTTTAACAATCCGTTGTTCGCTGATTTCATATAAGCCGATAGCAACTGAATATGTAGCTAGGTCAAGCATTCCTACTTTATCTTGTTCGTTTGCTTGGAATGTGACAACAAATAGTGGGTATACTTCTAGTAATTCTTTTAATGTTGGCCGGAGGCAATTTGAAATCACAGCAATTTGTAACGATTCCGGTGTTTTATTAAGAGTTCAGGCTCGAAACCCTGACCCTTATCTTCTAATTTCTGATATTATTTTATTGGATACGAATGGTTCAGCAAAATTTCAAAAACGAGACGTTCATTTGCTTCAAGGAAAATATATCAGCGAGGAATGGCAATTTCCATTTCTGACAAAAGAACAACTTAACGAAACCAAAAATATAATGAATAGACGCAAAGAACTCGAATTAGCTTGCACATTTTTTACTTCTTCAAGTGTAGGCTTCAATGAAATTGTTAAATGTAAAAGCAATCCTTCCTCATCGCTGTCATTCCCTAGTTTACAGAAGGACATGCGTGCATTGCTTTTGGATGAAAAACATGCAGATGTAAAGCTTAGAACAAATAACCATGTTATTTCAGCGCACCGGTCTCTTCTTAGAGCCCGATCTCCCGTCTTCTATGCAATGTTCGATCAAGAAATGATCGAAACTAAAACAGGTATTATTGATATGCCAGATGTGGACTTAGAGATATTGAATAAATTTTTAGAATTCTTATATACAGGAACAATTGAAGAATTCGACTATGATAATGCCTTAAAATTACTTATAGTAGCAGACAAGTATCAAGTCTCTAGCCTGTGCGATTTGTGCTCAATATTTTTGGTGTCAGAGTTAACTGTAGAAAATGTATGCGAAGTTATGTGTGTAGCAGATATGACTAATAACGAATCGTTGAAAACTTCAGCTATGGAATATCTAACCAATCACGCAGCTGAAGTAATGGGTTCTACAGATTGTAAAAGGTGGATGGAAAAGAACCCAAAATTGTCAGCGGAAATAATTTCTGACATTTTTGCAAATTTTAGTATTGTTCCAAAAAGAATTGGTAGAAAGTAAATTTTGAATAAGTAATACAAAAGTAATTTTTTCTACTGGTCTTGTAACTGACTATTATTTTAATTATAAGTTGAGTCAATTACTATTTTACTAATATTGGTAATTTGTTTATTATTTTATAAGTGCAATTGATTACTATTTTACTTATGAGCTTTTGTTTATTATTTCATAAATGCAACTAATTACTTTTTTATATTTGTAATTTATTACTATTATACTATGCATGAACATCGATGTAACAAAATTCGTAAGGCATATGTATTAAATATGAATTGTGCACTAATTACCATAGTATTACTTGAAATAATTCAAATTACTGATTTCAGCCAACAAATATTAAATTATGCTTCACACTTATTTTGTATCAAATTTATTTTAAGGAAATATGTCATAAATGGTTTCTGCTATAAATATGAGTATACTGTTAAAGTCGGGTAGATTCTAGGATTTGCAGGTAAAACGCAGGATTTACCAGACTTATAGTTTTTAGCACACTTATCACAAATATTTGAAATATTCAACAGTGGATAATGCAGCCAACCTCACATCTGTGGTAATGAATTAGATAGGTGCAGATGCTACGTCTTTTTTAACCAACAATAAACAAAATTAGATTTTTGTCATTTAAATATTCATATAAATGCAAATTTTGAAAAAATATGTATACATCATAAAACTGGGACTTTAATTTGGACAGTAATAATAATTTTAAACTATGTTTCTCAGAAATTCAATAGCGAGATGTCTTTGTTTAATCACTTTTAAAATTGCAATAAAATATCTTTTTAAAATGAAACATCATGGGCACTTTCTACCTCAGAAACAAATTAACATGATATATATATATATATATTAATTTCCATAAAAAAAAAGAGGAAATTATATTAATTGCTATAGATGTCTATTAATGTGGGAGTTTTAAGAATTTTCAAATTTAATAACAGTTGAATATGAAAAAATTGCATCTCAATATGATTAGTTGTGATATAAAATTGTTTCAAGATTAGAAAAGAACATATGGTGTCACTAACACCTTTATATTACCATTACCTTAATAAAAAAAAAGGTTTTTTGGGGGAGGGGGGAAGGAGAGTTTAACAAACTGATGGCTCTGCGCATAAAAAGTTGTATTTTAACTTGCAGTCTACCCCCCATAGCAAAACCGGTTTTTCCATGTTATTAGATTGGGAAATATTCTATTGGGAAAAAACATTCTCCTAATTCTGCCCAGGTTGCTATACAAAATTAGTTTTAAAATTATTTTCTGATATTGGAGTTAGGGTTACAGTTAACTAGCAAGATCTTTACAACAGTTCTTATAATTTACTAATTTAATTTTTCTTGTTTATTCATATGCAGTTTCAAAATAGTTGTTCATGGTTATTGTGAAAAACCAAGAGACAAATTTTTTAAATTCTGCAAATAAAATTTTTAAAAATTACATGTATATAAAAAAAAAGAAAAAAAAATTATAGTTATTCAGAAAAAAGAAATGAGGATAATTCTTTGGATATAAAGAATTAATAAATGCTGTAATACCTTTAACGATTCAGCATAAAATGCAAGATATTTCTGAATATAGTCAAGTCTCAATTATCCGAGTTAATGTGGATCACAACTAACTCGGATAGCTGAAAAATTCGGTCAAAGAGAAGAGTGTAGAAAAGGAAAGAAAAAGAGTAGGTATAAATGTAATATATTTAACAAATACAAAATTAATACAAGTACACCACATACAATTCATAGTATAATTAAAAAGTTTACTCAAAAACACTTAAAGAGCACACTTTACTAGAAATAAAGAGGTTTTTCTTAAAAAAGTCCTTAATCGTTTTTTATTTTACTTTACTTTGGCACTTTTCTGCAGCAATGTTTCGCCATTTTTTTTTTTGGGATAACATGAATAAAGCTATTGTCGCCTCTTCTAATTGTTCTATATATATTTAATAGCACTTTCGATATCTTTTAGTCCATCTGTATGAGAAATTTTTATATATTGATTTTCATCCTCACAATCTTTGCTAGATTCATTTTCAATATTGATGATATTAACAATCATTTTATCGGATCAAGTTGACGGATTTCGTTTTCCAGAGTGTTTAGAAAATAAAATTGAGATTTTTTTTGGTGGTAGTTTTAAAAATAAAAAAAGAAAGTAGAACAAAAAAAATTCTTGAAATATTTGATAGCTTGGTTAAAGCGGAAACTCGGATAATCAGGACTGTACTGTATCTTGTCTGAAAAGAAATATATTTACATGACTAAAAGCATAAATTCAAAAAGGCATAAAAAAGAAGCAAGACTTGAAGAATATATCACTCAATGATTAAACAAAGTCAAACAAATTATTTATTTACAGAAAATGAAAGTTGATGATCATCAACTAACAGTTGATAACAGTATCAAATTTTTTTGTGAATAAAATGTTGTGTGTTCAATTAAAAGAATAAATCAAACTATATGTGACAAGTTACAATCAGTCTCTTCTGGCAAAATTTCTGTCCATGGCAGCACTGCTTCGTTGTATTGTAAAGATCTTTTGTTTCACCCTGCTTTCAACACTGCCTTTACCAGCAACTTTTGCTAACATAGGCCTGAAAATACAAATTATAACATTACATAACAAACAAACAAAAACTAGTTTACATATTAGATCTGAAAATCTAAATTTTCAGTTAGAAGCCAGTGGCTAATTAGTAGCAACTTTCTCCTCAAACCTAATAAGTCGGTGACTAATATCAATAGGCCTTTGTCATACGTTAATATCAATTAATAAGTCAATATAATTAATAGATCAATATCAATTAATAAGTCAGTATAATTAATAGGTCAATATAAATTTTCATTTTATTCATCAATATGTCCTTTTCATTTATTTTTAATAATTTAATTTTTTTCATTATTATTCTTATATTAATAATTAAACACTTTTTGTAAACTTTTCTTTTCTTGGATAAAATTTTAAAAAAAAAATTATTTTAGAAATAATCTTTGGCAATAAATTGTAAATTCAACAATAAAAATAATACAAATATGTGACAAAATTTATTTAAACATACTAACTTTAAAGAACTCAATTTAAAAAGATTTGGAGATTCAAAATACATTTAATGCATACATTACACCTTTAAAATGTGTGAATCATTAAAGAACTCTCATTCCTCATGAATTTTTTTTTATCACAAATAGATGGATTTTAATAGATCAAAAACTAAAATGGTGACATTAGCCATTTTAATGAAAATTCTGCTTTCCAGATTCTGATTTCTTTGTGCATTGATATACTTTTATTGTTAAGGGAATATCAAAAAAGATAATGGGAAAAAGTGATTGGGTTGTTTATTTAATTTAAGTTTATTTAATTTACTTATGACATGGTGAATGGTTATTTTCAGAACTATTCTCTAATGTCAATTAAAAAAAATTAAAACCTTAAATCCTAAGAAAAATAAAAATTCTCTCTAAAAATATAAGCACTTTTAAAGAATTTTTATTAATTGTACAAATAAACAGCATCTTTAATGTTTAAAATAATTATCATAAATAAAAATAAATCAGCTTTGCAGCAAAATTTAGTTACAAAGAATTTTGAAAATTATAAAATTAAAAATTATGTACTATTAATTAAAATAACTTAAGTAAATTTTATAGAATATTTTTTAACATACACGACAAACTAGAATGCACAAGAATTATATTAAGCATTACATACTCACAAACTATTAATTCAAAATAATTTTAAATAAAAAAATTTTTTGATTAGTATGATTTTATTTAATATTTCTGTTATGAAATTTTAATGTTATAATGAGTTATAAATATTAAAAAAAAATTCTGAGTTTTTTAATAAAACAATATTCAATGGGATAAGAAGTCTCATAAACAGCTTCAGGTTATTATTTCCATGCATTTTTGCTGAATTCCTTAAAAGTCAAATTTTTTTTCTGTACATTTTAATTTTGACTGAAGTCTTAATTAATTTTTCAATTCAATACAGATATATTATATAGACCTTTTTGGAAAAAAAATAATGTACAAAAATATTTAAGTAAAATGATTAAAAATTAATTCACACAAATTCCTTATTAAAAACTAGTGGGCTGCTCCCCCTGCTCGCTAACGCTCGCCAACCCCCAAAAATTGCTAAGCAATCTTATATGGTTTGTTTAGCAAACCAAGCTCGCTTCGCTTGCTACTAATTTAGCTATGCTGCAAATGCACAAAATTCTAAGAATTCAAAACAATCATTCAAATCTATATAAAAACTTTTTTTTAAAAAAAAATTACATCCTTTTAGTAAATACTAAGTNTCCAAAGATAATTCTATACAAAAAATAATTTCAAGTAAATATTAATTATATATTATATTTAATAATAGTCAAAAATATATACAATTGTAACATATAAAAATTTTTACATCAATTTAAACAAAGTAATTTATTATTAAGAAAAATACAAAATTTAGGCAAAATTAATTAAATAGTTCCAGAGAAAATACCTTTTTTTTAACTGTACATACAGTTTAGTGTTTTCTTTTTAAAAACTTTTTTCACAATAATATTTACTTAATTTTAAAACTTTTTTTTTGTATTTAATTCCATCATAAAAATAAAGCTGCATATTTTTATTAGCACATTTTTTTTCTATGTAAATTTTTAACATTGCAAACTTAATATTTCAGTATTTTTACTCTCACTTTCAAGTTTCGATTATGAAGGTAAAAAAATCAGTTATAACGTACTGTTATAAAAAAATTGCCGCTAGTAAAAAGAAAAACCAGTGTGAAACTTATATAAAATATCCAAAAGTTATACATGCCAATATGACCTATTTAATAATTTTTCTTAAATTTTTAAGCTCATAATGTATTTTAATATTTATATTAATTAAAGATAGAGCCGATATGTGCCATTATTTTTTAAAGTAGAATATGTCTATTCTTTCTATCGTGAGATATTTAAGGGTTTTATGTTTGAATGAATTTAAAAATACAATAGGTTTAACAATTAGGATGTTTGTATTTAATACTATAATTTGATTAAACTTTATATGAATGATTATTAAAATTGTAAAAGGAAGGTCCAAATGGAAAAAATTAAGTAATTCATTATTATTGTTACATGTTTTGAATATAATGGTGTGTAATTTAAGTTATTGAATACATGTTCTTAGAATGAAACTTTCCATTCTTGCATTTAAATTTCAGGGTTGCCACAGAAAAAAAATGAACAAAATAGTTGCTTTTAGTAGCCTAAAGCATGAAAATAGTAACTGAAAACTATGAAAATAGTTGCCTACATAAGAACAAAAATTCATCAAAAATATGACTAAAATTTTGTTAATGACTTAATTGATTAATGACTTAATACCATGATCCATTTAGTCAAGTTGGTGGCAAATATGATAATTTTAATTTTTATATAAACGTTATTGTTCTAGCACTATTTTCCTTTTTATCAATAATTGATCTAGGAAATATATATATAAATATACATTGAAAAGTGATTAGTCAATTGAAAATTCATGCATCATAATATCGCTTAAAAAATTTTTTTAATCATGCGGAATTTCGTAGCCACTGAAATAGAATCATCGAAAAGGCGATCGAGAAACGAAATAGGCTTACAATGGAATCTGTGCAGTTTGAACGAATTTAAAAGTGAAGACTCAAATTTGCAATTCAAAATTTTCAAATTTATTATTTTTTTTTAAGAAAAAAAAAGCTCTAAGTGTTCAGAAACTATTGCAGGCTGCAGATTTTCAACCCAAGTCATGCTAAAAAAAACAACGCTATGACAACAAAGGAAGTAAAGTAAAGTTTCCCAATAGTCTACATTTCCTGAAAATAGTTGCTTTTTCAGCCGTTTCAGGCAAAAAAAAGTAGCCATAGTTGCAAATAGTTGCATTTTAGTCGCCTGTGGCAACCCTGAAATTTATCAAAATGAAATTTATCAAACTTTATTGATTAATGAAGAACACATCATCTTTTAATACAACAATGGGAGTCATAAATCGCGATACAGTTAAAAACAGGCATGCAATCAAAGAAGAAAAAAATTGAAGGAATTTGATAATATTATGGAGAAACTATAGAAAAAAAAAATCACTACAAATGATTCTTTTGATATATCAGAATAAATGTAAGTAGTGAATATTGATTTATATTTTGCATTTATTTAAAGAGTTTAAAATATAATTAAAAATACATAAAATGAATTTTCATAAAATTCAACATAAAATGGTTTTAAATATAAAAGTAATTGCCAAATTTAGCAAAAAAGACTGCCATTTGGTAAAATCACTAAAATATGATTTAAGATGCTGTCAAAAAATTGATAATGTTTAACCATGAGTATAACTTCTCATTTTCTCTACTTTAAAAAGTCATTACAAAGAAATATAGAACAAAATAAAAATAAATAAACAAACTTACTTCATGAAATCAGATGAGTCTACTTTCTTCATTTTATTTTCTCTTTCCTCTTCTTCTTTGTATCGAGTTGCATTCTTCTTTCTTTGATCTTCTCTCCATTTTGCATTTTCTTGCATTTCTCTGAGTAAACGCTCTCTTTCTTTCTCATCAAGTTTTCTAAAGAAAAAAGTAATAAATAAATCTACTTATAAAATATTTCTACTATATGGTACTAATAGTATCATATGAAAAAGACAATGAAAAATAAAATGCCTTGGAAAAATTTTTGTTAAATATTAGAAAACCATACATTATTTTAAATTAACAAATTTTGAGATATAAAAAAATATTTTAACCAAAGACACCAAACATTTCTGAAATAGATCCAGACTTTTGATATAAGCCTTCAATATCTTCTGACTTTGATTTAAGCCTTCAATATCTTCTGACTTCGATATAAACCTTCAATATCTTCGAACATTGCATATTAACATTTTATCACTTATCTACATATTGATAAAAATTGAAGAGTGTTTCTGTCATCTATGAAAAAGTAAGTAATAGCATTTTATAGCAATAGATGGCCAGTTAGGTTTAATCACATTGGATATGATGTGATGTAAGTAACGGCAGAGATTGTATGGGATTGAATTAAAACAGCTGACCAACCAGTCATTCTCAACAAATTGTATTATGTGTTTATATGGGAAGAAAGATTTTGTTTAAATAGCTAATTAATGGCACACATTAAATATCTGAAATACAATCCCCCCCCACTACTCCAAGCAATGAAGAGAGTATAACACTAGCATCAAGTAATGAAGATCACAGCATCTAGAAATATAAAATAAAATTAGAGGAGCTTCTATCAGATTAGGAAATTTGACGAAGATAGCTAAGGTAACAGTTAAATTTTCTGTGTGATTTTCGAATAAAAAATTTAGCAGAAAAAATGAAACCCTTATTAAGACATCCAATGAAAAAACCAATACTAAAAAAAAAAAAAAAAAAAAATTAAAAGTTTCTGCATGTTTTGAGAAATTTGATGGAATTTTAGAAAGCTTCAATTTGTTTATAGAAGGTTTCAAGCGTATCTCAATGTTCAAAATCATTGAACAAAACATTAAGACATCAAATGAAAAAACAGAAACTTAAAAATAAATAAAAAATAAATGAAAAAGTTTCTGCGTGTTTTGAGAAATTTAATGGAACTTTAGAAAGCTTCAATTTGTTTATAGAATGATTTCAAGCGTATCTAAATGCTTAAAATCATTGAACAAAACATTAAGACATCAAATAAAAAAACAGAAACTTTAAAAAAAAAAAAATGAAAAAGTTTCTGCGTGTTTTGAGAAATTTAATGGAACTTTAGAAAGCTTCACTTAGTTTATCGAATCATTTCAAGCGTATCTCAATGTTCAAAATCATTGAACAAAACGTCAGTGAGGGTAAACATTCAAAAGTACTAATTGCAGACTAAAATTCTATAGAATTTGCTAGAAAATTACATTTCTTCAGATATCCAGAAAGATATAAAAGTTTTAAAGAACTCAAAACAATATCAAAAAATCCTCTTAATCTTAAAATTTGAATAACTCGAAGCAGTCATATGTTTTTCAATCATAAACAACAAGGAGGAAACAATAAATAACAGAATTATGAGCATTAGCCATTTGTTGTGCCTGTGAATATTCGGAAAATATGCTCAATACTATGCTCATGTATGCTTTTGTGTCAGCTTAAAGGATTGGTCAATCCTTTATAGAAAATCCTAAAAATTGCTATAGCCTAGGAAGAATTCAGAAAAGTGCAGTTAAGATCATGCACAAGAAAACTGCTGAGGAGAAAACAAGTAAAAAAGAAACTGCACATAAACTCCACAAGTAGACATATTTATTACAATCCACAATGGAAAGTGCAGAATCACTTTGCTCAAAGAAAAACAGATCGGAAAGATTTCTGTTGGAGTTGTTTGAGTGATTGTATTAATTTGTACAAATTTATTTTGTGATAAATGCAGGTTTCATCTAAATATTTCCCACTAATGAATAAGGCTTGTTAGGTTAAGAAAAAATAATCTAGACTGGTAAGACAAAAATAAATTAAAGTTGAAGATAATTTAATGGTGAAATAAATATGTAAAAACTGGAAAAAAGAATTTACAGAATCATTGTACAGTGCAACATTCATTGCTTCAAATAAATGTTATGGAATTCCCTCATAAATGTTATGGAAATTGATTCTTCGTCAAATGGTTGAAAATTTAATATTTTGTAGTTCAAAACATTCTAATAAAAAATTCTCCTTGCAACAAAGCCCTTTTTAAGAAACAAACATTCCAATATATAAATAAAGCTTTATTTTTTTTAAAAAAATGCCTTAAATCTATAACTTATTTTTATAAAGTTGAAAAGCTGCATTAAATCAAAAAAACATAATTTTAAAGATGGTAAATGACTGCAATATAATCAACAAAGAAAATCAATATTGAAAATTTTAATTTTAGTAAAGATAGAAATTCATCTTTAAAACTAATTACTTTTTGGGAGCTGAACCTGAAGATTCCAGCTGATTAGATTTGTTATGATAATCTCTACTCTTCTGAGAATCATCTCGCTGATAGCGATCAGAGTCTCTGTGATGATGATACTCTTGAGAACTAGAATATTCACTACGACTTTTACTTCTTTTGTTATCATCTCTGTAATTGCTTACAGGGTAAGCTTGCTTATCATTTGAAGTATTGTGTGTTCTATGGCTGAGTTCTCTCCTATTATATGAAGAAGATGAATATTGTCTATTATCGCCTTCCTCATCATCATACTTAGATGCTTTGTAATCAGGAGATCTGCCATGATGCTGAAAAAATATATAAATAAATAGCTTTCTATAATAAGATTAAATAATTTCAGAAAACTCTGTTAAAATTTTAAACTAAAAATTCTAACAAACAAAAGTAAGGTTAAATACAGTTTTACACTCCTATTGTTTAGGTAAATTTAATAACTATATTTATTTTTAAATTTAGGTCTATGTAAACCATAATAAATTAAATTCAACTTCTTTTGGAGAGTAAGACATTTTGTACAAATTATTAAACTACAAATATCATTATTAAATTTCCAAACCACAGAAGCCTATATAATTATAAAAATTGGCATGTTATATAATTGGAACACCATAATTAGAACCTAATTCAGAAATAGTATATATGCATTGATAAATCTGAAATTTTCTAAGAATCTGAAACTATTCCATAATTCAATATCTAAAAATAGATTAATGACATCTTACATACATTTGAATCCTTTGTGCAAATGCTACGTATCTCACTTTAGAAAACATTGATTCAAAAAATAAATACATTTTATTAAAATAAACAATTTTCTTTATTAAAAAAACTACTTACATAGACTTAATATGACACTTTTTTTTAAAATCTCGGTTTATATGATACCACAATTTAAGATTATAAAAATAGTGATTTTAAAATAAATTAGTTACAACTTAAAAAAGCAATGAAGTAAACTACAAATATTAAACTTAAAAATCATTTGAAAGACAATTTCTTAAAAGAAATAAAAAATAAAGAATATTACAAGCATTTAACCCACTGACGGTCCTGCACGTAGAAAATCGTAATTTAACCTGCAGTCTTCTCCGCATCGCGAAACCGGTTTTCCCATGTTACTAGATAGGGAAATAGTGTATAGGGGAGAAACATTCTCCCAAATTTGCCCATTTGCTAAACTGCCAGTGGGTTAATGAACATTATACAGTAGAGCGCCGATTATCCGAACTGCTCGGGACCGAACGTAGTTCGGATAATGAAAATTTCGGATAATTGGAAAGTTTTTCAAAATCTAGTTTAAATTATTATTATCTATGCACCAACTACCCTTCTCACTTTTTCCAGGCTTAGAGCTGGCAGTACTATCTAAAACAGCTCTGGCGGGATTAAAAGTATTTTTTTTTTTCAATTTTTAAATATTTTTTATTTATCTATTTACTTTTATTCATTTTGAATTTTTTTAATCATATTTCAGCTTTTTATAATTTTTTTTTTTGTCAATTACTGATTTTATCACATTTTTCTTAATTTTCCATTACAAAAGAAATCCAGCAAATACTTTTGTTTCAAAGAAGATACTCGTTTTTTAGCAGCCATATCCCTTATTCTTTTTAAATAAATCAACCGAACTGGATCAACATCATTTTGACGTTCTAGGCTGTCAAAATGAAGTTTGCATTCTTGGAAGATAATTTTCTGTTGAAGAGGGCTAAAGGGGTAGGATGGGTTTAACTGTATAACAATACATGTATGTATTGCTACCATAATAAAACTGCTAAAGAAGGTTGCAAATTAAATATGGTCACCAAATCTAGTGGACATTATTTACTCTTCCAAATTTAGAAAAATTGTTGATAAGATAAAAAGTATTCTAAACTTGAAAGAAAAAAAAAGCGAATTCGGACATAGTTCGGATAATTGGACGTTCGGATAATTGGACGTTCGGATAATTGGACGTTCGGATAATAAGGGTTCGGATAATCGGCGCTCTACTGTAATAAGAAAAAAAATGGAAAATATAAGTTATATATCTTATTAAAATAAACTAACAATATATTTGCACCCACAAAAATACCATATATTAAATAAATAAATAAATAGGAAACCCAAAACAATTTGAATTCTAAGTGAAAGGAAGGCATTCAAAAAATTGACACATTTACTTTTTTAAAAAAGTAAATATTTGTTTCTAACAACAACGATGTTTAGTTTTGCATCAATTTAGTTAAGAAAAAACTCACCTTATAATCAGAAAACTTTTTTGGATCTTTATTTTTGTTTCTTTTTTGAACAACCTCCTCTTCAGAGTCATTATACTGATGTTTCCTTCTTTTTAGAACAACCTCTTCTTCAGAGTCATTATACTGATGTTTCCTTCTTTTTTGAACAACCTCCTCTTCAGAGTCATTATACTGATGTTTCCCTCTTTTTTGAACAACCTCCTCATCAGAGTCATTATACTGATGCTTTCTTCTTTTTTGAACAACCTCATGCTCAGAATCAATATACTGATGTTTCTTTCTTTTTTGAACAACCTCATCATCAGAGTCATTATATTGATGCTTCTTTCTTTTTTGCACAGCCTCATCATCAGAGTCATTATATTGATGCTTCTTTCTCTTTTGAACAACCTCATCATCAGAGCCATCATCCTGGTGCTTCTTCTTTTTACTCTTTTTGCTTTTCTTGCTTTTTGTTTTAAGAGATGCTTGTAACTAAACAAAACATTACAGAATCAGTCCCATGAAATTGCATAGGATAAACATTATTATAAATTTAATTAAAAAAAACCATAATGTAACATAATAAAATTGAAAAATAAAAATGCAAGAATTCGTAAACATAAACAGAAATTTATTCATAGAAAGAAAATAAGGTAATTTGTAGGAAGAGTTAATGGGGAGGCAATTAAAATAGTTTATAATTAAACTGAATTTTACAACAGTATAAACATACTATTTTATCTAAAAGTGATGAATAAATATCAAGTTTCATAGAAATTTTGATTATTTTTCCCTTTGATCTTTAAGTGCTGCTGACAAATAAATCACAATTGATCAATTTAAAAAGTTTAATGTTATCAACTTTTGTCGATACATTCAACAAGAAGAATATTATTATGCATGCAGATATAATATTATATACAGAATATTTTATGCCATAGTGATTGTGTCGCGGATGCTGAGCCTCTTGGAGCATGTCCGGCTGTTTTTTGTGATAATTACGACAGATTACAATAGAAAAATTAGTCCTTACAAATTTACAGGCTTTTGTTTTCTTTTGTATTTAATTAATAATAAAAGTTGGCATATATTCCAACTTGTTATATGTTTTTTTATAAGTGTTCTTGCTGAGTATTTCAATTCAGCGAATGATACATGTCAAGCACTATGGCTGAAATTTTAAAACAATATTGAACAAGTGAAGTTGAACATTGAAAAAAAAGAAAGAAAATAAGATAAAAATCATGAAATAATGAAAAAAAGTGAAAAATGTATTTGAACAAAAATTAAGAACATTTTGCGCATAATAAAATTATTTAAATATAGATATTTTTGTTTAAATATTGTGCTTCCTGGGAATGAAAAATACCAAATTTTAGCAAGCTTTTTAAATTTTAAACAATGAGGATCTCTTTAACTATGACAGATGAACAGGTCATAAAATAAAGTACTTGAAAAGATGTTTAAATTATTATTGAACAATAGAATACTAGCAACAAGACTTGAACAAGTATTAAATAATTGCTAAAACTATTAATGAATGTAAATATGAGGGAAGGAGACAGCAAAATTGGTCATAGAAGTATCAGTTTAATTGGAAACAACTCATAACTTTGTAAAAACTAATCAGTGAATGTTGCTTGATTGAAAACGTCATACGCTTCAATAATATACAAAAATGAAACAACAGTCGACATGTTTCAAGCACATCAAAAATAGGCACTCATTTTTCAAGATTTGACAGGCATGAATGTAACAAAAGAAAGATGATTTGAAATAAACGTAAAGTTACCAACAAAAAGTGGAAGGAAAAAAACTAGAAAAGCCAAGAGAGAAGAAGGGTGAAAAATAGAACAAGGAAGAAAAAAGCAGTGGTTGAGAGGCAAATCAGGGGGAAATGGGGAGGTGGAAAGGAATTCAGGTGGTTAACAAGGGAATCAGCATTCAAATGAATAAACCAAGATTCCAAGGTATCAAGATGAGCTGATGCGGTTGGGTGGAAATGATTTAATAATTTATGATCTAATCAGCAACAGTGGGGAAAAAATTATCCTAATTTGACATCAATCTTCATCAATCTATGAATTTTAAGTTAATTTTGATAAGTTATATAGATTTTGAAGAGTACATGATTCAAAATTTTTGACAAAGTGGTTATTTTTCAAAATCCTCAACAATATATCAAAAATTCAGAAGTAATTTAAAATATTTTAGAAAAAATTTAAAAATAGCAGATTTTAGGAAGAATTTTATACCTGATAATTATACTAATTTGCAGTAATTAAATTCATCGGAAAAACTTTTAAAATCGGTCACTTTCTGCTTTAACAAGCATACAAGATTAAAATAAAAATTTGAGTAGATTAAGTTGAATTACTTTTAAAAAATCATATAATTTTTTAAGGTAAAACTTGAAATAAAAAAAGATTTACCAGCTGTTGCAATTGTTTCATTTTCACCGGATTGCTTAATAGATTTTTCTTTTGCTCTTTTTCTTTTTTCCTGTAAAGAAACACAATATTACAAAATTTGATTGGCTACATGATAAAAAAATTTTTTTAACTAAGCTCCTTAATCAGAGTTGCCACTCAAATCTAGAAAAAAAATTCAGTGTGTTTTCCCTGTACATATTATACCCAATATATTAAGAGGAAACAACAATTACAGGTGCTCTCATGTGAGCTATATAGGGCTAATTATATTTATTAGTTTTAATTGCAGGAAAAACAACCGAACATACTTAAATAATGCTATAGTAATGAAATAGTTTAGTATAGCTAAAATATCATGGTTAAATATCCCATAGATTACGCTTTGAGTGGTCACCATTTTTTAAAAGACAAAAATAAGAAACAAAATTCCCTGTATTTTTCCAGTTTGTAAAGAAAAAGTCAAAATTCCCTGCATTTTCCCTTTTAATTTAGTTGATTTTTAAGTTCCTTATATTTTCCAGGTTTTCCCTGTGGAGTGGCAACCCTGTTAATTGCTTAGTTTATGATTGAATGCATATGAATTTTTTAATTATTACGAAATTTAATTGCACTTATAATAATAAGTAGAACACAATTAAATGCAATTTAAGTGTTTAGGATCAAAATTATACCTTTTAAAGGCCTTGAATGAAAAATAAGTCCTCTTCATTTTAATCATATTAGATTTAATCATATTAAATTTAAGGAAGTGAGAACACCGTAATGCAGTTTTATTGACATAAAACACTAAAAGAAATTTCAAAACATTAAAGAAGCTTATTAATAGTTAATACTTAATTAGCAAAAGTATTGAAATAAAAATGTCATTAGCCTCACATTATATTGAACAAAGGATCTTCTCTGATTTTAGTAGCCAAATCAACCGTAGCTGTCCCTGAAAGATTTTGAGAGCTGAACATGGAAGAGCCAACATCATTATCTGAAAAAAATAATAACTCTTAAAAAAATTTAAAAAAACAACAAATATATAAAAAATATCTAAAACACTATTAAAAGGAGCATATGTAATACAATGAAATAAAATTCACAAATTATTTTTTGTCCATTTATACACAATTTTCTATGCTTTTAGTCTCATATTCCCCCCCCCCCCCCTAATTACATTTTTAATAGCTTCAAAACAAAATTATAATAAGCTTTAAGAATAACAAAATAAAGGTCCAACAATGCTTCTCTGAATCCTGAGTGGGGGAAACAATGACATATATACCAGGGAACAATGAAACTCATACTTGAATCATGAAACATTACAAATCATTTTCATTAAACATAGAGTATTTTATTTTAATATAGATTTATATGAACATATTTCATTAATCTGCCACTCAAAAATGCAATATGAATAATGGAATTTTAAAAAAAAAATATGTTTCAATAATTGTATTTTGTCTGTGTGTGCTTCCTTGTAACCTACACTAAAGCTACTGAATAAAAATTACTTTCAAATTGCTGACATTTATCATTTTAATTTTGGTTTTGACTGCATGAAGACAAAAATATAAAGATTATATTGCATGCAAAAATAGAAAGGAAAAAATATTAAAACAGATAATTGTAACTATGTATTGTTACAAAAATTGTAACACAATAATTGTAATTGTATTATAATTTGTATATTTGTATTACTGCATAAATTTGTATAAATTGTATCATAATAATTGTATTGTGCAATACAATAATTGTAACAATAATAACAACGAAGGGGAAAAATCAAAATTACCCTTCACTAAATTTATTTTAAGAAATTAGAATGTTGTAGTGAAATTGAAGAGGTTAACAATTCTAGTTTAATATATTATTTAAGGAAATACATTAAACTTTAGTATTTCACACAAATTTTGCATTTAACTTAGCAAAGCAAACTATTCACATAACAGGCTTTTATTAAGTCATCTTTTCCACACATCTTGTACAGAATTAAAATATGCATATTGTTTTTTATATATAGATATGTGTATGTGTAATATAAAATGCTTCAAACAGGTCTTTTTATATTAATTCATAGCTTAAAATGAATGCCTCTTATTAATTTTTTAACAAAGAAAATCATTCTTCTCCAAACATTCCAGGAAATAAATAGTCATTAAGAAAATCCTTTCAAGTTCTATGGCATCGTCTTTTTGAACAATATCAAGACCCTTAAATATTCCCTTTTAAATGATATTCAATTATGTAAAAAAAAACATCTTGCAACCAATTTCCTTTCAAAGTCTCTATTCTTGAAGAGGGATACACCAAAAATATGTCGCTTTCATAATGTAATTAATTGCTTATGTAATAATAATGTAATAATTGCTAATAATACTAAAGTAATTGCTTAATGAAAAGTGGCCCTAATGGTTTAACCTCAACACCCTTATTGGGAAAACTGTTTATCAAAGAATTTGCAATAAGATACTGAATAAAAATTAGAAAATTAAACTGACTCAATAAAGTAAATTAAAATCTTACTGCTAAATAGGGACTTTTCTTCATAAATATTAGCAATAAATTTATTAACGTGTTTTATTTAATTTCTACATTTGCTTATTAAATTAATTTCATTGTATTTTTAATAAAATCTAAATTCATAATTTTATTTTTGATAAATATATAGAAAATATGTCTGACTATTTTTACAAAAATAAAATTCATTTTTAGTCCTGATCTATAATTTCCTGATTTTTTTTATTATTATGAGTCAAAAGAATAGAAAAATATTTTCTAAAAACAATTTCTGCATAGAGTCACATTTAGAAATAACAGGTTTATACTTGTGCACAAAATATATTTGACTAAATAATAAATTTAATAACTAAAAAAAGAAATAATAATAACTAACAAAAAGAAACAATTAAAATTAAGGTACTCAAAACTTTTTGTTGAGCTACTTTTTTGTTGAAATAGTTGTGACAGTCTTTTAGATTACATCCTATATTATTTTGTGGATTAAGTACGTAAATTCATTGAAAAAGAGGTAGTTTAATTCAGTGAAGTGTTAGATTTTGTAACTCAAAATAAATCTGTACAAATTAATAAGCTTATTTAAAAACATCCCTAGAACTATAACATTTGTACTTTTATGAGAGAGAAAAAATCTTAACTCTAGATCAAAAGTTTTTCCTGCATTTAACTTTTTATTTTGTGTGCTGTACAAAATAATGAATTGTGTAATAAATTTATAAGTATTTAGATAGTTTAAAATGAAATATTTATCCCATCTCAGAATCATTGAGATGCTACTATGTGGCCACCCCTCGTCCTCACTGAAAGCCAACTTGTGATTGCCATGCAGCACTTTATAGCTTTCTTTTAATTTACAAAGTGCTGAATGTTCAGTGTGTGAATTATTTTTTGTAACTTGGAATTGCTCGCTAATAATGCAACCAAGTTTAATTTATCTTAATATGAAAATAACATTCACTAGTGTGCAAATTTGTATGCTAATTCGAAAATATCAAATCAAACATGGAAAAATTTCATACCAGCCTCTTCGGGTGCTTTCCCACTTTCGATTTGTTGTAGAGTTTCAAATGTCTTGTCGATCTTTCGGCCTAACAAATACTCTTCTCGATTAACCATGGCAGCAGGACCCTGATACATCCAATCAAGTTTTTCCTCTTTTTTTCTAATGGAAATATGAAGCATGAGAACACACAATTCAAAAAATAAAGTTTTTAAAAAAAATGTGGAACTAGAAATTCATGATTTTTATGTTATACATCTCTTTGAAAATCTAAGATGCAAGAAAAACATTTATTAAGAAATTTGTACTGTTCTGAAATAAACTTTATTTTTTATTTTGTGAAATTTTAGATAAAATATACTGATAATACTTAATTAAATGGAAGAAGTTGAGCAAAATCAATTTTCTGATTAATTCTACATTTTATCCATTTTTTTTAATGACAATAGAGTCTTTGGCAGTAATTGCTACATATTTTCATAGTTTTTAAAATCTAAATTATTTAATATGACTTGATAGCTTATCGCAAATTTAGAATGATGTATTTTAGTAACAGTGTTTTATTTTGACACATTTGATTAGCAAAGATTCCATCACAAACCCACACAGTTTGCCAATTGTTTTTTTTTTTTTTTTTTTTTTTTTTTTTTTTTTTTTTTTTTTTTTTTTTNTTTTTTTGGCAGCTATTGCCACAGGTTCCAAATTTTGTCAGTTATTACCATAGATTTTTCTGGTTTTTGAAATCGTAATTTCTTTAACGCAACATTATTTTGTAAGGAAAAATTTTAACCATGCACTAGAAAATGATTTTGTTACACACTCGATTATTAATGATTTATCCTTAAAATCATGTGGTTTTACAAATAAAATTTTGGTTAGTTATTATCACGGATTTTTGCATTGTTTTTAAAATCTTGATTTTTTAATGATAAATTATTTAGTATAAAAAATTTCGAATGGCCCATTTAAAGAATCACTTTTTGATACATTTAATTTGCAATAATCTTATTGACCCTCTGGTTTTGTCTATCAACTGCTACAAATACTTCAATAGCGATTTACAACAGCTATTGCTACAGATTTTCAAATAGATTTAAAATTTAGATTTTTTGCTTTTGATCTAATACTACTATGATTCATGAATATCAAATCAAACTTTTGAAGAATCGTTTTAAGATACACTCTAATCGTAATGCTTTTATCCCAAATTTGTGATTTTTTTTCAAAATGCTAGAGTATTGCACGTTCTGAAACTGAGTCCACCATTTTCTTGGCGGCAGTAATCTTTACATGTGAGACAGGAGAAAAAAATAATATATTATTTTCATACTGTAATGCAAGAATCCGAATTTAGTTTCTGTGATATCCAAATTTCTCGATCATATAATAGTGGAAATCAGGAAAAAATAAACAAACAAAAATCGAAAGTAAGATAAAAAAAATTATAGAAAAGCGGAAAAGCAGAGGATTCTCATCTTTAAAATATGAATAGAATAATAAATAAATTTACAATTGAAAAAAAAATAAGGTAATGGAAAAAGTTTAATTTTTGCGCATTTTGCAAATTTGAATTTCCATAACTGCACAAGTAATGAAACAATTGTAGCTTGATATAGCTTATCTAAGTTTAGAGAGAGAAAAAAATTCTCTGCATAGATAAAATTACACAGTCCTAATTAAATTAAGTTCCATTTTTTTAGCCATGGCTGTTAAATAAAGTTATAAAAAATTTTAATTCAGTGTCATCATTTATATAAAATAAAAAATGAAGTCTTACATTCCTTCACCACTCTAAAACAAGTATACCAAAATTTTATTCAACCAATATTTTTAATGTTGTTGCTTATGGAGACACTTTTTTACTCAATTTAAAAGAGAAAGATTTAATTGTAGTATATTGTAATCCTACAGAAAAAGTTTGTTACAATACAACACCAAAAGTCAGAATTATCATTATAGTCACCACTTTGCTTTTACCAAATACATGATTTTAATGCTTAAATAGCAATAAAAGGTTTCGATAGCTTTATATAGTAGGTTATTAAATAACAAGTTTTAAACACTGAACATCGAATTCAACAATAAAATATTAAGAAAAGAAATAGGGAGGCATGGAAGCTATGTGGTCAACAAATAACACATTCTTTTGAAGCATGTTTTTTTTTTCTTCTTCTTTTTTCTTCCTGAAAATAGCAGAAGAATTTTCCTTTTTAAAGAATAAGGTAACTTGGTCAGTGAGAACCAATACACATTTGCACATCAGGCATATTTTTGAATTCAGCAGGTGCATACTTAGATTTTTTTACTAGCAAAATATGAAGTTGTTTTGTGGAAGAAGGGTTTGATATCTTTAAAAAAATTGCTCTTCTTCAGTAACCTATTTTGTCAAACAGTTGCCGTGCTTAATGTGGGGTCAAGTATTTGTTACCAATAAAAAGAGGTCTGAAATGACTATACGATTCTGTAATAAGGATACGATTGATTAAGAAGAATTTTGTTCCAATTCCGACTTGGAAAAAGGGAAGGTAAAGTTCTAATTTTCAAGGACAAAAAGATTCTGTAATAAAGATGCAATTGATCATGAAGAATTTTGTTCCAATTCCGGCTTGGAGAAGGGGAAGATAAAGTTTAGTTTTCAAGCAAACTTTATTTTCATGTAAAACAAGTTCAAATTTCACTTTTTAAATAAAAACTTACTAGTTTTGACACTAATAGGTTTAGTTTTTCTTTTCTAGTTAAAGGAATTTTAAAAAAAAAAACACAAAGGATTTTGTTTATTACATGTTTGTTAAAATAATGGGTTCTGAATTAAGAAATAAACTAAACATATGGACAAAGCACTAAAAATCAGGACAAATAGGAACAGAATATTTTGTATCAGAAATATCAGGGCAAGTACAAACAATGCAATATACAATAAACTTAAAATATCAAGAATCTAGACCATCATCACTCGACTTCTTGCCCACGAAAGGGTGCTCATCCGCCGATTGGTATTTGCATGATTTATACGCTTAAATAGGTTTAAACTTAAAATATTTCTTATTATTGAGAACATGTGACAGATCTGAAACAAACTTATAAAAAAAAATTTCAGTACCATAATTTTGAAGAAGTAAATGTAATTTTACAAAATTTTGAACATAGTCCAAAATTACTAACTTTTCCACCCCATAACAAAATACTGAAATATTTTCCCCAGGGAGCTCAAGTAAATCAAGTTGAGAATATATTGTTGTGAATTATTATACATATATTGATCTATACAACACCAAGTTATGCCTTGTTTAAATAAAGTAAAACAGGCATAAAGTAAAAATAGTTTTTGTTCCTAACACATTTTAAAGACATGAATGAAATTTGTTAAATAATTAGATTTAAAAATGCATTAATGACAATTCGAAGACAAGTAAAAAAATACACAGTTTTGCATTTTTAAAAGTAATTATACAGCTCTTCAAATTTCAAATGTTAAAACATATGATTTGATAAACGGAAGACAATTAAACCAAGCTATAAAATAAAAATAAATCATTACTAATTAAAAACATTTTTACATACTTAACAACACCTTGATCCTCAGCATATAGCTGAATCTCTTCTCGAGCTCTTTCTGCTGCCAACTCTTTTTGAAGTTGTTCAATTTTTTGTTTTTCAGCTTCATGTTTCTGTTCTGCTTTCCAGACACGTTCAATGTTTCTCAAAGTAGAAGGATGCCAGGACTTTTTCAAATTCTAGAACAAATAAACATTTAAAATAAGATTTCGCAATCCAAAACTGAAATTGTTCTTAAAATCTGATAATTATATCTTTTTTCTCAGACATTATAATAAAAAGATATATTAGGATAGAAATTTAATTAATTATAATTAATCAAAAAATATCTTAAAATAATTTCAAATCTTTCAATTAATTTTCTATAACAAATAAAACCATTGTATAGTATTAAAAAATTTGGAAGCAATTGATTTTTAAACTTTAAACAATATTTAATGTACATATTCTAATCTTATGACACATTCTCCTTTTTTTAAATCATAGTGCTAGACTTCAAGATAAAAACTAAAATTAATTTTGTAAAACATTCCAATTCATTAAGTGCCAATTGTTACAGTAGTTTCCTAAGCTAGCTAAAATTACGGTTAAATAATAATGGAAACTTCCTATTCTAAAAATAAATAACTACAGAGCCTCCAGTTTACAAGCAATGCTTCAAATCATTATATATAAACTCTAAAATTATATGAGAATTTCAGGCATGTATTGGAATATCAAAAGTTCATTTCTTACCAAATTTATTCTTAAACAGCTGATTGAATATTCTCTTTCACAACAAAACAAAAAAAAGTTGAGAAGAATATTAAGTAGTAAATATTTAAAAGCACCTTTTATATATAGATGCTGCTTACATATTTATTTATACACATACACACATAAATAAAACATCTCAAAATTCTATTTGGAAGTTTTGTTAATTTATCAATGCAAAGGAATTTTTTTTTCTTTAAATAAAGCAATACCAAAGCTAATTTTATCTATTTTACTATTAATTATAAAGAATANGTTAGTTATTTTCCTGGATTTTTGCATTGTTTTTAAAATCTTGATTTTTTAATGATAAATTATTTAGTACAAAAAATTTTAAATGGCTCATCTAAAGAATCACTTTTTGATACATTTGATTTGCAACAATTTTATTGACCCTCTGGTTTTGTTTATCAACCGCTATTGCTTCAGATACTTCAATAGCAATTTACAACAGCTATTGCTACAGATTTTCACATAGATTTAAAATTTAGATTTTTCGCTTTTGATCTAATACTACTATGATTCATGAATATCAAATCAAAGTTTTGAAGAATTGTTTTAAGATACACTCTAATCGTAATGCTTTTATCCCAAATTTGTGATTTTTTTTTTTAAAATGCAAGAGTTTTGCACATTCTGAAACTGAGTCCATCATTTTTTCGGCGGCAGTAATCTTTTCATGTGAGACAAGAGAAAAAAATATGATATTATTTTCATGCTGTAATGCAAGAATCCGAATTTAGTTTCTGTGATATCCACATTTCTTGATCATATAACAGTGGAAATCAGGAAAAAATAAACAAACAAAAATTGAAAGTAAGATAAAAAATTATAGAAAAGTGGAAAAGCAGAGGGTTCTCATCCTTAAAATATGAATAGAATAATAAATAAATTTACAATTGAAAAAAAAAAATAAGGTAATGGAAAAAGTTCAAAAGGTTTAAGGTCAAAATATTTTTTATTATTGAGAATATGTGACAGATCTGAAACAAACTTATCATAAAAAATTTTTAAGTACCATAATTTTGAAGAAGTAAATGTATTTTTATGAAATTTTGTAGACACAAATAGCCTAAAATTAATAACTTTTGACTAACCCCATGACAAAATACTAAAATATTTTTCTCAGGAAGCACATGTAAATCAAGTTGAGAACATATTGTTGCAAATTATTATACATATATTGATCTATACAACACCAAGTTATGCCTTGTTTTAATAAGGAAAGTAAAACAGGCATAAAATATAAATAGTTTTTGTTCCTAACACATTTTAAAGACATGAATGAAATTTGTTAAGTAATTGGATTAAAAATGCATACACTTATATTGATAACAATTCGAAGACAAGTAAAAAAACACACAGTTTTGAAATTTTAAAAGTAATTATACAGCTCTTTAAATTTAAAATGTTAAAACATAAGATTCTGAAAACGGAAGACAATTAAATCAAGCTAAAAAATAAAAATAAATTATTATTAATTAATAATATTTTCACATACTTGACAACACCTTGATCCTCAGCATATAGCTGAATCTCTTCCCGAGCTCTTTCTGCTGCCAACTCTTTTTGAAGTTGTTCAATTTTTTGTTTTTCAGCTTCATGTTTCTGTTCAGCTTTCCAGACACGTTCAATGTTTCTCAAAGTAGAAGGATGCCAGGACTTTTTCAAATTCTAGAACAAATAAACATTTAAAATAAGATTTCGCAATCCAAAACTGAAATTGTTCTTAAAATCTGATAATTATATCTTTTTTCTCAGACATTATAATAAAAAGATATATTAGGATAGAAATTTAATTAATTATAATTAATCAAAAAATATCTTAAAATAATTTCAAATCTTTCAATTAATTTTCTATAACAAATAAAACCATTGTATAGTATTAAAAAATTTGGAAGCAATTGATTTTTAAACTTTAAACAATATTTAATGTACATATTCTAATCTTATGACACATTCTCCTTTTTTTAAATCATAGTGCTAGACTTCAAGATAAAAACTAAAATTAATTTTGTAAAACATTCCAATTCATTAAGTGCCAATTGTTACAGTAGTTTCCTAAGCTAGCTAAAATTACGGTTAAATAATAATGGAAACTTCCTATTCTAAAAATAAATAACTACAGAGCCTCCAGTTTACAAGCAATGCTTCAAATCATTATATATAAACTCTAAAATTATATGAGAATTTCAGGCATGTATTGGAATATCAAAAGTTCATTTCTTACCAAATTTATTCTTAAACAGCTGATTGAATATTCTCTTTCACAACAAAACAAAAAAAAGTTGAGAAGAATATTAAGTAGTAAATATTTAAAAGCACCTTTTATATATAGATGCTGCTTACATATTTATTTATACACATACACACATAAATAAAACATCTCAAAATTCTATTTGGAAGTTTTGTTAATTTATCAATGCAAAGGAATTTTTTTTTCTTTAAATAAAGCAATACCAAAGCTAATTTTATCTATTTTACTATTAATTATAAAGAATAGATCCTGATCTGCTAGTTAACAAATAAATTACATATAAAATGGTTATAAAATGGCTAGTTAACACACAAAATGGAACTGTTCAAAGAATTAAATGTACATAAAAAAAGACAAGGCATAAAAAAAATTGCACAAAATATATTATATTTCAAAAAACAAAACAAAAAAAACAGTAAAAAAACATACCAAATCTCCACCTCCCATTGTTGTTTGTAATAATTAACCGGATGATAACATCAATGAACCACTCTGCTCTATAAAAAAAAGTAATGACTATTTTTATTAACAGGATAAATGAAAGTAAAATTGTATGAAAGTAAATATGAAAAATTAAACTTTTTTCATCAAAATAAGGCTTTAATTCAAAGCATAGTTGATGACATGTGCGAGAATGTGCACTTTTAGAAGAGACCAAGAGCTTACCACAAACCAAAAAATAAACCATTTAATACTAAGTAACAACAAAAAAAAGTTATAAACATTTCATTCAGAAAATTAATTTTAGTAATATGTTTTAGTATATATCAATTTAAGTATAAGTTGCTAAAAAAAAAACTTTCAACTTATTAAAATGATGAAAATTTTTAGGATGCAAAATAATAAGCATTATTGTTTTAATAAAACATCTAGAACTCATCTGGAAACTTCTCAACCCTCTAATTTCATTCAACTATTATCCCTATCACAAAATTAATCCCTAGAAAATGTTACATTTATCCAATCGAATTCTTCACAACTCCTAAAATTTATTTTACCAAAATAATTAAAATTTTTATTAGTTGAACTATTTAAAACTTTTCAAATGTTATCAGAATAATAATAGTCAAAGTTTATTATACATATATTTTCAAATAACTTCAACTTTTAAATGTTAATAATGTAACTTATAAAAGGACATTTAAAATAGTGAACAAAAGAGTGAAATTGTCACTTCAAGTTTATTTTAAATACGTATTATATAGCACATATAATAAATTATCAATTAATACCTATTTATTTCAGAAGTCTAGTCTAGCATTCAAAAATTAAACTGTTGAAAATTCTCCTGTCCAACTATTTTAGCAACATGTTTAATAATAGACTAATAATAATACCCTATTTATTAGTAAATATTTTATTATGAAGATGTCAGTAAAGTAAATCCATCGTTATCAGAAAATATAATTTAAGTCATGAAGTAACAGTAATAAAAATATACTGGTAAATCTCATTAAAATATTGATAAATATATTTTACAATAATTAAAAAATTAACAGTTATTTTTTAATTTATTGTAAAATATTTTTATCTCTTCATTCATCTATACTACATCATGGGAGTACATAATATTCATTTTACAATATGATGGTCAGTTATGAACATCATATTGATTATAATTAAATTTATAAATTAATATATTCATTTTACAATATATTTATTTTTGATGTTCTTTGCTAACAGCCAGCATAATTTCACAATATGTTGAGATAATTCCCAGAAGGTTTAAATTAGCTTCACTCTTTAGGCTTATCGAAGTGAGGGTTTAGGCTACTTATCAAACATAGCACTCCTCACATCACTCAAAATATAAAAAATAACTGTTTATTTTAGGCAATTTTCAAGAAGCTCAGAATAGTGATTGGTGATTTTCATTAGCTTTATAAAAGGTTTATTGCTATATGCTTAGGAAAAATGAGTTTGATTAAATAATTCTTTGCCCATTTTCTAATAAGTCTAAATATTGATAATGATGACCCTAAAAGATCTTGTGCAAAATGCTGAAGATCTTTCAAATCAGCTAGGCTCATTGCGAAAAAAAATGCCAGAGACATTCGCAAAGATTTGGATATTTTAATGAGCCTAAGACTTATAGAACAAAAAAAAGCAATATTAAAAAGTCTCACATAAATAGTGTGCAGAGTAAATAAACACCAAAATATTTTTTTAAAAAATTATTTTTACCCTTTGACACTTTAGTTGCTGACCTTCTTAAATGTTCTAAAATAAAAACTTCTTCAGGCCAGTGTCTAGACTTAATTAGACGAGACCAATCATAAATATAACTCTGCAAGAAAAAAGAAAAAAAAAGAATTAATTAAACTTTAATAAAATAATACAGTAAAAAAAAGCACTTAAAATTTACAGATGCATTTAAAATTAGAAAGAATGGATATTAACAATCATTAGTAAGAAAAATTAAAAATTAATTGTTGTACATATTTAAAAAAGATTGAATTATATTACTTCCTGAAAAATAATATTTACAGAAATACATTTATTTCATGATAATTATTATACATGCAACTTTACTTTGAGATAACTCTATCAGTTACCTGTCACTCTTAGGTCAAAAGTTGCTTCCACAGTTTCAAATTTTATAGTTTCTTCAAAAGTAAATTTGATAAAAAAAATGAATAAAAAAGAACTGGATACAACTACATATACAAAAGTTTTGGAAGAAAACCCTTCCATTTGGCTCAGAAAAATTATTTAAACTTTTAATTAAAGCAGTGTGCTTAATTTTTGGTAAAATTTTAAGTTTTCAAAAATTATAATTTCATAAATTCTACATTCCTTGTATACAAAGGGGAATATAATTATAATTGATTTGATATGTTCGCCTCCTTTTTTATGGTTTTTAACTTTTATGCTTTGTCGAAATTTTATGGAAGTGTTCATTTTCAGTGTTATTTTCGATTTCTTTTCTTTTTTGATGAAAATGATTTGTTCAAAATACAAAAATTGGTATGAACACTAGATTATAGTAAACATAACAATACTTTCCAGTGTTGCCAATTATTAAGAACGCTTTCTTTTTTAAAAAAAATGAAGAATCAATTTTTTGAGATATTTGGTGAATTATGAAACTTTTCATTAAGTAATTTTTATCATGGACACTTTTTTGTCACGTGTAGTAATTCATTCAAGGCTCTTTAGCTCATTCAAAAAATTAATTATAAGCAATCATTTTATTGTATTTTTATGTGACAATATTTTCCAGTGATGACACTGATGATACTTCCTTATGAAATAAAAGCTTTTCTTTTATATAAATTTTTCAACTTCATGGAATATTTGGTAAATTATCCATATCACCATCATTAAAACTTTTCTTTAAGTCATTTTTATCATGGGACATTTTTTTGTCACATGTAGTAATTCATTCAAGGCTCCTCAGCTCATTCGAAAAATTAATTATGAGCAATCATTTTACTGTATTTATATGTGACAATATTTTCCAGTGATAACACTGATGATAATACTTTTTCATGAAATAAGAGAATTTTTTTTAATAAAAATTTTCCAACTTTATGGAATATTTGTGGTAAATTATCCATATCACCATCACTGATACTATTCCCATTATTTTTCATTGTTGATATTTTTCTAAATGATAATGTAGCTAATCACTCATGACTATTTTCCAAAAAAAATTAGCAACACTGATTATAGTAGTACAGCTCTGAGAAATAAGAATTTTTCAACTTTTAGAAATATTTAATAGAGTATCAATATCACCATAAAGATACATAGTTAATTTCAATCGCTGTTGGTCCCATTATAATATAGTCATTTATTCATGATTCTTCAATACATCCAAAAAACTAATTATAAGCAGTCATTGCACTGTATTTTTACATGGAAATATTGTTCAACAGTGACAATGTTTACACTAGAATTTTTGAATGAAATATGAAAATTTTCTATACAATTTTTCAACTATAAATATTCTATATCACAATAATTGATACTTTTTTCTTTTATTTTTATTATTGATTTTTTCATATATATATGATACAATGTCATGATTTTTTATCATGATTTTTATCACTGATTTTTTGTCATGACTCTTTAGGTATTTCTGGAAATTAACAGTAAATTAATGATGTTTACATATTAATCTACACTAATATTTGCATGCATAAATTGTTTCTCATCATAAAAATTTACAAAAATATCACATTAACTTTTATGCACACAATTAATTTCACACTTCTTGATTGCAGTTAAAATCTGTAAAAGTTTTTTTTGTTATTACAAATGAGTCATTATTTTCCAAATCTATATCCTTGTTTGCCAACGTTTAGATATCATGGATACATGACATCCACAGTACATTATGCAAGCTAATGGTAAAAGAGGTAGCAATCCACCAAATAATATTCTTCTCATAAATAAGATACCTATGTCCCAATTTGAAAGAAAAAATGTACAAGACAAGCACATCAAGACAAAATGAGGCGTAGACAGCAATGCTTTAATTTGCATACAAAACTTTGACCCTCTGATAAAACTTCGCTCGAATAGGCGGTTAAGAATGCGTTCGGTTGATACGAGAAAGAAATTCATAACACACCACGTACTGACAGCCTTATCCATGCCATGCCAAAGACATACAAAGAAAAAACAAACACAAAGAGCCAGCAATTTTCTTATGGTGGTATACCTCCCCTGCAATAGAGGATAATACAAGTATTTCAAAATCCATAGGTAAAGTCCACGGTCAAAATACCTCCACAAAAAAGATGATGTGTGAATAGCGCTGATGCATTTAGGAGGAGGTGGAAAATTAAATCCTTCTAAACTGGCAACACTTCCAGCAAAACCATAAATAACATAATATTTTAAATAAAACATCATTGGCAGGGCGTATCCAAATCCGCAAAAGGCCCAACCGTTGAAACTCGAAACGACATCAGGATAAAATTGAATTGCGGATGAATAAAAAAAGTGCATTAAAAATTCATAGACAAAGTACCAGAAAGTAATATATAACAGTCGGCGTAAGCTATAGCCGAAGTTTTTAGAGGATGCTCTTATGTACATTTCACTGTAAAATAACTCAAATGATAAAATTGGGCCAGTAAATATCGTAGGGAAGTATAAACAGTAGGATATCACATTAGGCATTTCTTTAAAACTTGATTTTAAATATGCTCCAGAATTAATGCTATCAATAGAAAAGCTTAAACATTTGGCAAGAAGCCAAGCTAGTCCCACATCAAATAAGAATGATTGAGTTTCTTCTTTAATAAATGATTCTTTTAACTTCAAAAAATGGGTATTATGTAACAGCGGTAAAGTGCATAATGTCAATATATAGCAGATGCTTTTTTTCCCGGTTTTATGCGCTAGATACATAAGAAAAGTATATAATATGTACAAAACTGTACCAGGTAATCCAATCATAGCAGGTAAACATATCATTGAATAGATAGTATAAAAAATTGGTAAAGCTCGTATATTTATTTTGGATACTGCTTGAGAGAGAAAAACTTGAACTGCTAGAATGAGCCAATATTTTTTTAGTGCTAGCGTCAAAACGTTCCATTCTAAGTCAGAATTATCCTTCATACGCTGTAAGATTGGCCAACCCGTAGCGAAATCATCGGGGCTTATACTGTATAAATTCTCTTTGCAAGCCTGATTAAATTGTACAAGTGCGTAAAATATAGAAAGCACCCACACTTTCCAGTAAAAAAATTGTTCTAGATTCATTATTAAACAAATAAGAGAAATGAATAATGAAAATTAAAAGCAATCTTTCACAAAGAAATTAAATTCATTGTAGGTTATGAACATGAAAAAATGTGCAATTTAAAATGGTGATTTAGAGAACAATTTAATAATAAAACGAAAATACAACGCGAATATAACATAAAAACAGTCAAATTGACGCTACCGTTGACGAACTTTTGACTTGCCTTGTTTACAAACCTCTGGACCGGAAATGAAAGATCTTCGTGAAATCTTTTCAGTTCTTCCCGATTTCTCGTCACTTGACATTTTATTTTGTCCTCTGAGTTAGCCGAGAGATAAGCAATTTCCAATCTCTAGTTGAACTATTCAGAAGAGGCCATGGGGAAAGCATGAAACAAAGGCACGTGCCTACGATACCATTAAGAACAATTTACGAACTTTTTTTTCCTTCTATAGAAATGAAGAATATTAATTTAAGATAACAGCAAAAGTTCTTCTGATAAATAAATTCAAAAGCTACTCATGTTGTGAAGCAGAGGTGAATCAGTAAATAATTAGTAAAATCAGAATATCAATAGATGAGCGAATCAAAATACCAATGATAAATGAAGAATAAACTAGCTATCTATGATGATGAATGAATTGATAAATTAACGAAAAACTAAAGAGCGAATTAATGAATCCTTTGAGAAGGCAATAAATTAATGAGTGGGTGAATCAATGAGACAATAAATTAATGAGTGATCGAATCAATAAAACAATAACTTAATGAATAGTCGAATAATTACTTATTCATTAGCATGTGGAAAAATTTCTAATCCGCTTATTGATTCGTTGGTTACATTCTTTGGATGGTTGACCGCGTAAAGCTAAACACGTGTTTAGCTTTACAGATGGCGGCAGGAGTTAAAATTCATCGTAAAACTTCCGGGTTAACACTTCTGATTAATTTTTACTTCTAAGCTTTAAAAAGCGCACTATCCAATATTATTATACTTGTAATGTTTACAATCTATCGCCTTTTTTTAATTTAAATTTCAATGAAACAAACAACAAATGAATTCGGAAGACTCTGCAAGCAATACTATGATGCTGCAAAAATTAGCAAACAGAGATATTTTCCTCAAATATAGCCAAATAAAAGATAATATTCAAAACATGGAAAATCTTGCACTTTATTTATGTTGTGATATTTATTTTCTTAAATTTGTTTCAGGCTCGCAACCTGTCAGAATTCATATATGACAGTAAACTTTTATGAAAGGTAAAGTTATGAGTAAATTTAAACACCAATCAGAATCATAAAACTTGATAGAAAATTAAGCCTGTTCGTACATCGCCTTGTACGAATAACCTAAGCGGAAGGATACACCGGAAGTTTTCTAAATTTCTTCCGGTTTCATGAAACTTTTTATTGTTTATATTCGTCAACCATCCATTGCTTGATTCCTTTTTTTATTTTAATTCATTCCATGCCTTCGTCTATTCATTCATATGCTGGTTATTTTTTTCACTATTGCATTGCCCTGCAGATTATTATAGTCACTCATTCATAATAGATACTAATTATTTGATAAGTTCATTCTTTGATTTGCTGACACCTTCATTCGTTTATTTATCGATTCGTTGATCCGCAAATTGGAACTCTCCTAAAATTTTAGGCTTCATGATTTACCTGTTGTTACGAGAGGTCAAGTATCCGTGATGACAAAAACTGCTAAAACTCGTATTTAGGAAAAATGTTTATCCTATATGTCTAATGAAAGAAAAAGTATAAGCTAAATATGAGAAAAACAAAAAGAATTTTCTTTAAATTCCAGTTACAACTTTTTATTCTGAATGCACTGATATGATTTTTCAAGACAAAACTCATTTCTGGACAGGGGTGCCGCGAAACTGATAGGGACATCTTTCAAAACTTTAAAAAACTCCACCATTTGAGGAATTGACAAAAATAAATATAAAATGTTTATTTAAGCAACAATCTTTTAGCTATTTCTATATATTTGATCTACGTCAAATAGATTCCCTGTTTCGTAAAGCATTATTTTCAAAAGACAAAGTTCGCGATGGTGGTGATGCGTTGTTTTGTTTAAAAATTGTATCAATTTAATTGCCAATTTGATTTAGGCAGTAGAGCTAAAAACTAAAGCTGTAAAATTTCACTTAAAATGTAAGTAGATATTTCTTAAAAAAATAATTTATGTGCAAGGATTAAAGTGAGCGGAAAGAACTTTTTAAAGCACTAAATACCCCCAACTTTTCTGCTACATAGGGAGTGGTGGGATGAAAGCGATAGTATATTTTAATTTATGAAGTCTTGCATTAAGGTAATATATTTTTCGTTTTAAGTGTTATTTTCCTAAGTGTTATGTCTTAAGTGTTTTGTTAAAAAGAAATTAATATATCCTAACTAAATTTACCAAATTTGTTCTGGTAACAGAATTGAACTGATTGAAAAGCTTATTTGTAAAAAGATGGTAATTACTGGCTTAATTTATTCAATTTAATGTTGTGCTAAAATAGAATAGGAAAGCGAACGAGCTAACCTAAGCGAGAAAGTAATTTTCTCAGTATCAGACAACAGTAACACTTTACAGAACAGCTGCTGATTTTGATTTATATCCTATAGTAAGAAGTGGTCATAGGAAAAGAGCAGACTTGAGTTTGACTCTTTAAAGAAGTGGAAGGGTTTTGATATAATAGGAGTTGATGAATAAGTATCATCTGCGAAGAAAGAATTTCAAGAGAAATATATCAAAACATCATTCAAATTATGTTCTATGTTCGATTGATCGAATTTTTATCCAATTTATATTAGAAAGTCATTTCACGTATTCAATTTGATTTAATTAGACAAATGCATTGTTTTTTGCATGGAGTCAGAATACAAAAATTTGAATAGTTGCATGATTGGCAAAATTAAAACATGCTTTGAGCTTTCTGAGACAGCAGAGTAAAGTCTGAATAGCTTAAACTGTTTTCCTTAAAATTTTTGGATGTTATGAAAGCGGATGCTTAGTAACCTTTGATTTTCAATTTTTTTTCTTTCTTTGGATAATTAAAATAACCAATCTTTTATGAACAATCAAAGATTTGTCCTAGCTCAACCGTCAAACACGCCAAAAGAAAAGGGCCTTTCATTGATTTCAAAAGCGGATATAACCAAAAAGTAAACCTGAAACCTTGGATATATATATNTTAAAGTCCAGACAACGGGTATATACATATATATATATATATATATATATGTATATACCCGTTGTCTGGACTTTAAGGGATTTTCTTCTTCTTTTTAACGTAAAGAAGTATAGGTGAACTGCTTGGGTGAAATTTTACTTAAAATTGGAAAGTTTGACTATTTAAAATGCTGAGATGCAAATGGTACGAACATTTAAAAAAAATTTATATGTTTTTTCTTTCAGAAATTCTTTACCCGTATTTTATAAAAGGATTTTAATTTTGTATTATACAGTTGCTAGATTTCTTCCAAAATTGGTTTTAAGTAGAAAAAAAGCCCACTGGTTACTTTCCCTAGAAGGAAATGTACTCCTTATATACTCCAAATGACCAGTTTGAGCTTGTTATACTTTTATGTTCCTAAACAAAGAGAGAGGATTTTTGCTTAACTTTTACTGAATTTTCATAAAAAAATATTCCTTTCATACTTTAGAGTAACAACACCCTTGGTCTAAATTAAGCAACTCGTAATTCAAAAAAATGTGCTTTTTGTGATCAGGTGTGAAAAAAAAATCGATTATCTTTTTATTCTCCCACAGTTGAGTCATTGAATTTCTTATAAGGAAGTATTCTTTTTCCACTAGTTAAATGATACAGAGGCGTGCATTCAACCACGCTTTGGTAAAAGGGCGTAAAATGAAAGTACTGGGGCGTACGTGGGCTAAAAACCTCACATTTGGCCGAGGCATCTCTCCCTCCCTTTATATTCAGAAGTTATGAACCCAAATAACTGCTGTTGCTTTTACTTGTGTTATTCCTCCTCTTTGACCTCTTCATAAATGGAGGTTACGAAAATAATTTAATTTCAACGATGATGTGATACAGTTGCCAACTTTTGGGCTTTTTGTGGCAGATTTTCATCGCTGATAAACCAAGAATCGATATTCACCTGACTGCGTTCAGCTGATTTTTAATTTTTTTTATTTATCTATTTATATTTTTAAGATAAAAACCAGCTCTTTTCTTATTACATTATTAGCCTTTATTTTGGAAAATAATACGCTTTCCATTTTGATATACATATATTTGCAATAGAAAAACTTCCAATTTTAAATTGTAATAAAAAATTATGGTTTTATTTATCTAACTACAAAAAATTTAGAACTAACTAACATAACAAAATGTCAACTTAATTCAAATACTAATAACCAAACATAACAGTATTTTTGTCATCTTCGTAAAATAAAGAGTCTTTCTTTAATGGTTTGGGCTAATATTTTCTTATGCTACATTTAATATATATATACACGCTTCCCAAATGTAAATGTTAACAAAATAAACGTGTTTGTTGGTAGCTTACGAAACGTTAATTTGGTGAAGTTGCCCCAAAATGCCCACGGTCCTCGATAATTTTACTTGTGCTTGCATGACATAATGAATTAAAGACCAATAATAGCTAAGGAACGTAATAAACTTCAAGTTTTTGGTTGAATAGAACTGCATGCTAGATAACATCTCTATAGTATATTAAGTATGCGCTAATAAGTATATCTGTGGTTAGGGAAACGATGTAATTTCTTTTATTGGTAATAAAATGCATAAAAATAAATAGAATGAATTGGATCGCCCACTTGATTCGAATGAGTGATGACAGCACAATAAAAAAGATACTGCTTTTTAGACCCACTGAAAAAAGAGAGCGAGGAAGGCCACGGTTAAGATGGGCTGACTCAGTGGAGTCTGATTTTCTCGCAATTAATGAAAAGAATTGGAGATCAAAGATAAATCGGAAGTTGTCATGGAGAAATCTTCTGAGGAAGGCATTGGCTCACATTGGGCTGTCTAGCCAACTATGATGATAATGATGGTAATAAAATGAAAAACTAGAGGGAAAAAAATAGGAAAATATGCTTAACAGAAATGAAAAGCTAAACGCTAACTGTTCATTATGACAAACGAAATTAACAATATTTTTGTTTGAATTATGCTTATAAATTATCCTCAAGGCTGGCTACATAGTAATTTAGAGCTATATTTTAGATTTATTGATGTTGATGTTGCATAATTTACGCAAGATGCGAAGAGAGGATT